CCTCCACACAGTCTGCGGCCTTCTCTGCCTCCACACAGCTAGCATCCTTCTCCGCCTCCACACAGCCAGCGGCCTTCTCCGCCTCCACACAGCCAGCGGCCTTCTCGTCCTCCACACAGCCAGCGGCCTTCTCGTCCTCCACACAGTCTGCGGCCTTCCCTGCCTCCACACAGCCAGTGGCCTTCTCTGCCTCCACACAGTCTGCGGCCTTCCCTGCCTCCACACAGCCAGTGGCCTTCTCTGCCTCCACACAGTCTGCGGCCTTCTCCGCCTCCACACAGCCAGCGGCCTTCTCCGCCTCCACACAGTCTGCGGCCTTCTCCGCCTCCACACAGTCTGCGGCCTTCTCTGCCTCCACACAGCCAGCGGCCTTCTCTGCCTCAACACAGCCAGCGGCCTTCTCCGCCTCCACACAGTCTGCGGCCTTCTCCGCCTCCACAAAGTCTGCGGCCTTCTCTGCCTCAACACAGCCAGCGGCCTTCTCCGCCTCCACACAGTCTGCGGCCTTCTCCGCCTCCACACAGTCTGCGGCCTTCTCTGCCTCCACACAGTCTGCGGCCTTCCCTGCCTCCACACAGCCAGCGGCCTTCTCTGCCTCCACACAGTCTGCGGCCTTCTCCGCCTCCACACAGCCAGCGGCCTTCTCATCCTTCACACAGCCAGCGGCCTTCTCCGCCTCCACACAGTCTGCGGCCTTCTCCGCCTCCACACAGTCTGCGGCCTTCCCTGCCTCCACACAGCCAGCGGCCTTCTCTGCCTCCACACAGTCTGCGGCCTTCTCTGCCTCCACACAGTCTGCGGCCTTCTCTGCCTCCACACAGCCAGCGGCCTTCTCTGCCTCAACACAGCCAGCGGCCTTCTCCGCCTCCACATAGTCTGCGGCCTTCTCATCCTCCACACAGTCTGCGGCCTTCTCTGCCTCCACACAGCCAGCGGCCTTCTCATCCTCCACACAGCCAGCGGCCTTCTCCGCCTCCACACAGTCTGCGGCCTTCTCCGCCTCCACACAGTCTGCGGCCTTCTCTGCCTCCACACAGCCAGCGGCCTTCTCTGCCTCAACACAGCCAGCGGCCTTCTCCGCCTCCACATAGTCTGCGGCCTTCTCCGCCTCCACACAGTCTGCGGCCTTCTCCGCCTCCACACTGCCCACCTTTGCCTCCACACAGTCTGCGGCCTTCTCTGCCTCCACACTGCCCACCTTTGCCTCCACACAGCCAGCGGCCTTCTCTGTCTCCACACTGCCCACCTTTGCCTCCACACAGTCTGCGGACCTATCTGTTAAACCTGCTGGTGCTACTCCCGAGATGCATGAAGGACAGCTGGTAAGAGGGCTTAATCAAGAGCTGAAAAAGAAAATACCAAAAGCAGTATTGTTTACATAATATGAGTGATTACATAACTAATAATTGTTGGTCTGATGTCCTTTTTCAGGCTGTGGATGAGCACAACATGCCAGGAATGGATCGTGTGGACACACTAGCAGAGTATCTGGTGAGTCTGCGGAACCATACTGGTTTGACCTTGAGCAACCAACAGGTCAGCACTATCATAGGCCTCTGGCAGAACCTGCTGCCATTTGACCAGCAACAGGTGGTGTTTACTGCCAGGACAGGCTCATAGCAGGAAAGTTCAGATCTCCCATGAAAAAGGCAGAGTTTACTGCTGGTGTGGAGAGCCTGAAGCGGTGTGTGCTGGGGTCCACTGCCTTCCCTGCCCAATGGCCAGACTGCTGCCGCTTGGTGGAAACCATTTTTGTTACACTCTGTCGTTTACACAAGACTCCCAAAAAGCAAGGACAGGGTGGGACCCTGACAAGATAGACTCTCTATCCGCCCTGCTGCTCCTCCCCAAACACACGGCACTGAACATGTGTACAACCTGCCCCCAAGCACTGCAGAACAGGCGAAGACAAAGTGGCAAGTTGAAGATACTGTCACTGCTGCCCCACAAAAGCCTCCTGCTGCAACTCCAATGTTCCCCCAAGCAACCTCTGTCTGTCCTCAAGCACCAGTCACCTTCACTTTGCTTGCTGTTCTGACACCTGCATACCATGCACCCCATACTCCTGTTGCCCCTCTTGCTCCATCAGCATCTTCACCTGCCAGTGGTCGCCCTGCCTCTAAGGCAAGATTTAAGAAAAGGAAGGTAGTCTTCAACACTTGCAGGAAGTGTGGACAATTCCGGACTGCAGAGACAGGGCACAGTCAATATCAGGGCACTATCTACTGCCCCAATACAGAGACAGTACCTAAAGAGCTGTGGTTGGAACAGATAAAAAAATCTAAACTGTAAATCTAAAATGTAAATAGGTTAGGATGTTCCTATTCAGATTCAGTGTTACGTATAGTGTTTTACATATTTGTTTGCTTGTTTTTATTTTATTTATTTATACTTTTTAGGTATTTTATACTGTAAGACTGGAAAAACTGGTTGAAGAGATTGACCTGACCACTGGTCTATGAGACGAAGGACCTTGTTGCAAATTAACATCTGAACTCTCACACACACACTTCTTCCCCGCATCCCCCACTCTTGCAGAGATCACCCAAACTCACATAAGAATCTATATGGTTTTAATTTGAACAACTATCATACAGTTTTATACATGTGTTTCGTATTATTTGAAATGTCTCAGTGCGACTGGTACAAATGTCTCATTTCCAAATAAGTAAATCAAAAGGTAATAAGGTTTTTAGATAACATACACACAAAGGAGGGTGGATGGGTAAACCCTCCTGCTCTCAGAAGGTGTGAACTCAATGCTAATTCCCACTGTTAGCAAATGGTACCATGTAAATCAACTTCTGCCCCCAGTAAGTCTGGGAGGGTGAACACAGTAAATTTCCACTGTGAACTCATCTGTACATATGAAATGAGGTATGGCTATATAATGAAATGCAACTAGAAGATCAAGGCCTTTTCTGTATCTCAGATGAGTCCGCGAGACTCCCAGCTTCACGTAGCCTATTTTCCTAATGTCGGGTTCGTCTTCTTTTTTATTCTAGAACATTTGATATTTTGTATTGATTATCTTTGAACTGATGATAAATTTACCTGACATAATAAATTTTTACATTTGATGATTCTTCTAACTGACTTTGATATTATTTCATTAGAGTTAAAAGGAATTAGTCAAACTTTCGCTTATATTTAATGATGCAAAGATATCATTAAAAACCTTTTCATTTTATGGAGTCAGATGAAATAACGAGAAAATACATATGAGAAATGTATTGCATTTAATAAAAATCCCTTTGCCACGCAGAAAGACAGTAACACGCAGATACCTTCCGTGCTGATCGGATGCCGGACTTTGGGCACGAGTTTACAATTCTTTTTTAAGTTTTATACATTTGTACAGAATGTATTAGTTTGTTGTGTTTGTTAATTCTCTCTTTACTAACATGGTTTCAAATAATACACTTTTTATACAGTTTGTTTTTTATAAATCTTGGAGTGTTTATCCCAACATACACTTTATAAATAAACTAATTGTACACCAGAATAATTCTTGGTCTGTGAGTTGAAAAAGTAATTGTCTTAAACTACTTGAAGTTTGACCAAATCTATTAGAATTACTAAATGTAGAGTTACATGCAATGTTAATTATAATAAACAGCATTGTTAGGTATAACAACACAGTAGTAGGCAGTGAAGGTGTAACGACAACGCACTAACTTCGGGTCTAGGTGGGACTTGAACCTGCAACTTTTGGATCCACATCGAGCTTCCCTTTTCCACCAGAAACACTACAATTTCAGCAATTCAATTAAAATTCCACTAAGTAGCAACTAGGTAACAATTAAACAACTTGATTACTTCAGCCTCTCTCATCTTTTCTCTCATTCTTTCTGTTTTAGTCATTTTCCCCCCCCCCCCCCCCTTCCCCTTTTTTCTTCTTCCCCCCACCCCCTGGTAGACTATTGTTCCCCAGCTTTGGCGCAATGGATAGCGCATTGGACTTCTAGGCGAATCTAGTGAAGTGATTCAATGGTTGATTCAAGTCCCACTGGAATCGCACTTTTTAAAAATGACTTATTTATTATAAAATAATAATATTATAATGACGCATCTACACTAGTAGACTTATGATATTTAAATATATTAAAGCTTGGTTAATATTTGTTAGACACTAGCTCAAATGACTCTTCCTGAACAATTGTGATTCTCCGTGTAAATAATTCCTTTGCTGTTTCTGTATTTGAATAAACACATCTGATGAGCATCATTAGCTGAAAACATTCATGTGCCTCAGCCAGGACAAAATAATTAGCACGAAAGAATCATATCATTACAGAATAATAATATTAGTTTATATGACTCGTGCATTACAAGTCTTCTAAACCCAAAGGACAGACAGAAAGTAATTTGTCTTTTAGATGTAAATGGTAATAACGTGGAAACAGATAATAATTTTTCAACAAAAAGGAAATTAAATTAAGCTTAAAATAAAATAAGCTAAAAATGAAATAAATAAAATAAGCTTAAATAAAATAAGCATAAAATGAAATAAAGTGAGGCAAAAAATTTAATAAATAAAACAAAATAATTAAAATAAGCAAAAAAGAAATAAGCTTAAAATTAAATAATATAAGGTTAAATAAAAGGTTAAATATTTTATAAATTAAATAAATAGACAGGTCAATAAATCAATCATTTATGAATTATGTTGATATATATATATATTTTTTTTTTATGCATAAGTCCCTGCAGGTCTGTGTATCCCTGCTTAAGAATCGCATTCCTAACTCAAATATTATTAGTACAACTCTATATTTATTAATTTTGGCCAATAAACAAATAGTTAAGTACAGTATATTTAATATTTTACATATTAAAAAGAAAAAAGCCCAGATACACCAAGGTTACTGTACTGATGTAAGAGAAAGATTAAGGTTGAGATTTAGTTTGAAGCGCATAGAGGAAACTCTCTCAGCTGGATATTCTTGCTTTGCTTTCAGTATTTATTACAGTGGACAGAGATATTATAACTCTGCTCTCTCTTGAAAGATGTTTCCGTCCGGCTGCTGTCTCCACTGCAGGCTTGCGCTCTCTGACATTCCCTGAGAGATCAGTCTCTGCTGGATCTGAGGAGACAAACACAGACTCATGTGTGCTGGACGAACACTGCACTGATTCACTTTCACAAACAAACCGGCCGTTAGTTAGAAAACAGCAACACTCTACTCTGAAATTAATCAGCTCTCAATTAGAAATGCTGTGTTGAGTCGGGAAGTCTGATTCGTTTTAGAGAATCGTCCAGATGGGTCATGTGCAGTAAACAAAAGATTCACCAATAAAATAAAAGATGCATTTGAGTCCCTGAACAGCTGTTTTTTGTGTGAATGTTGTCCTTGCTAAGTTCAAGAATAAAGATGAATTTATAAAGGCGAGTGTCTCTCACCTCCTGGAGGATGGTCGCCTTCACATCAGGATCGTTCAGATTCTGATCCGATCCCAGCTCCAGTCTCAGAACCTGTTTAAACACTGGGACTGTGGCAAATACATGTTAGCAAAACAGTTACGACTGTAACTCTGGTTCCCTGAGAAGGGGATGGACGCTATGGGGACGCCACCAGTGTCTGAAGCATGTGTGTAAACACTCCAATCTGATTGGTTGGTGACAGGCCGTGACGTCATTAGCGGAGCGTCCGTAAGTACAATAATGCAGTGTCTCATTCCGCTTCTCAGGGAACCACAGTTACAGTTGTAACCTGAGACGTTCCCTTTGGAATAGGAACTCTCTCGGATAGGCGCTATGGGGAACCGATACCCACTCCACCATGCCTGCCTCTAGGTGAAAATATTTGCCATTTTAAGTTTCAGAAGGGTGCCCGCGACATACAGCAGACTTCTTCCCGACAGTCAAAGTTACGTTACGTCACGAAAGTGCGTACTCAAGAAAGACCACGAGTGTTTAGGGTACCATTTGAGACAGGGCCATAGTACACACACTTTCCTTACCTTCATCAACCAGATCCAGCAAATCGCTCGAGCCCGTGATCAAGGCGCGAGAAAGAGTCAAACCTTTTGCAAAAATACTTGGTGAGCTTGACGACTGAAAGTTAGCTCTTTCAAGCCTCGGGAACACCCCTCACTTGCCCCGCTTTGATCCTTCGAACCCGTGGGAGTCGAGCGCTCTAACAACCAGGATAATGACTGTAACCTCTTGAGATCAGAGGAGTGAGGTTTACTCGCACAGCGACTACTAGCTGGCCTCCGTTACACTAGCAATAAACACACAGGTCATGTGTGTCCTCAGATGTCAAACCCCTGGGACACTGAGCCCCACACTTCCTAAAACAAAAAAGCTGATGACGTGCCTCTTGTACTTCCGAGCGCTCTGCTAATGACGTCACGGACTGTCGCCAGCCAATCAGATTGGAATGTTTTCACACATGCTTCAGAGACCGGAAACGCAGTCCATCCCAGACGCAGTGTTGAGTTACCATTGGAAAGGGAAACAGCTCCAAAACAGAGAAAACTGTGATCTATTCACTGTATTGTTCTAGTCATCCAAATGAGTCTTGCTTGCACACATTCAAACCTGCCTACACCTCAAGTTTGACATAAAATGTTTTTAGTTTGCGCATGCAGTGTTGGGGAAAGTTACTTTGAAAAGTAATGCATTACAATATTGTGTTACTCCCTCAAAAAGAAACTAACTGCGTTACTTAGTTACTTTTTTTAGAAAAGTAATGCGTTACGTTACCTTTGCGTTACTTTTTTCCCCACATGGACTGGGCTTATTTTTTTATAACAAAAAAATTATATTTTTGGGCAAATGTAAAGACCCACACCAAAAGTGAAAAAAATAATCCTCAGGCGGAAGGAAGTGCAGATTCACGCATGTACAGTAGAGGTAGATACAAAAACAGACACACACACACACAAACACACACACAACGCCTCTGCACTTCGATTTGTCTCAACATGAAGACAGGAGAGCTGTCAGTCAATAAATGGTAAAACAAAGTAACTTATTTGAAAAAGTTACTCAGATATTTTGTTGTATATTTTAAAAGTAATGTGTTACTTTACTATTTTCTTGAAAAAGTAATCTGATTACGTAACTAGTTTCATGGTTAAGAGTCACTATGAAAAAACAACAACAACACCAATTTCGGACCGTGTCACCTGACTGACATGCGATATTATTTACATGACAGCGCACTGCGGATTTATAGCCAAAAGAAATCTGGATTTTAAACCACGAAATTGTCTTTATCTCTATCTTTATCTGTATGGCTTTGCGTAGCTACACATCAGACATGGAAAAACACACTCACTCTCATAGCAGAAGAAAGGTTTGGGAATGCTGCACATCTGATCGTCCCACAGTCTGGGATCCTGTAATAGTTGAGTCACACATTCTCCCGATCCATCCGGCTGATTAGGGTCCCAGTTCCTGAAGGTAGACGTGTTGTTGTCGGACCAGGCGAAAGCTTCTCGATAAAGGCCGATATATGAGTCTCCTGAAGGAATGAGCTTCTGGATCTGAAGGTTCTCATCCGGGTTCCTGACGCTCACCAGATCTGTGTGAAACTGTCTACAGTAACTCTGAGCTCCTCTCCATGACTTTAGCTCATTAACCAAGATGTATTTCTGCTCATTATTCTGACCTAAGAGATCAAAAAAGAGAAGAGTTGCATATGCAGGAATCAACTGACCGGGCTTAGGGCTAACAACACCATGTCAAGGATTATTATATTACAATATATTATTACCTATAAATATACAGACAGCAACATAGTGTCGGTCCAGATCCGGCCCACATCCGGCCCACATACGGATCTGGGCCGACACTATGTTGCTGTCTGGGTAATATATAGTATGTAATATAGAACCTACTCAGACAGTACGTGATTTCAGACGCACCAAAAGATTATAGGAGAACATTTTACCAAAAATACTACAGCCTACGGAGCCCCTAAAGGGACATGCTGATGGGAAAAAAGTCAAATATGTCATATTTGCGTTCCCTCACAAATGTTGAAATCTTTGCATTTGCCTGCAAATTGTTTGTATTCTCCAAAAAGTTTTGTGAGCAAACACACAGTTTCTCGGGGAACGCAAACGTTTTGCTAGCAAAGCATTGAGATATAATTTCCCCTCCCATCTCTTTTATTTATCTCCACCATGATGACTCTTTAGTGGCTCCGTAAAACAACCATCTACAAAAATGCATAAATGTAAATGCTGTAGCAGTAATTCATTACCATTGTAGCATATGAAGTTCCTATTGGTCGCACACGTCTTGTCATAAAACTTTCCCTGATCATCCATTACTGAACAGTATTCACCAGATTTGTTAGTTGGTTCTCCTGGCCCCCAGTTTCTGTATTCGGTTTCTCCTTCCTTGTAAAAGTCTTGATCGGCCAGAGCCCATTGCCACTGGTATTGACTCGTATACTTCAGTCCAATCCAGGCGGATTTACTGAACGTGAAGTCTTCAAGAGCAAAGAGCTCCTCCATTTCTGCCCGGTCCCGTAGAGTCACCAGATCGGTGTAAACGTCCCGGCAGTATCGCTGAGCCTCGTCGAATGCTTTGGATTGATTCACGAAGTAGAAGATTTTAGAGGGATTTAACGTGCCTTGAAAAATATATAATTTTTGGTTATAATTGCCATTTAAAAAGCAGATGCAAATACAATTACAATATATATTTCGTGGGTCTCTACCTACTGCATGAGGATGCATACTGAGCTACTAACATAAAGTATAATAGTGTATATCTCACCTATAACACAATATATAGCGCAGCTCATGAGGACGAGAAGAAGCATCGGGTCCATGGCTCCTGTCAACAGCAAATAAGACAAACTAAGAACTCAAATAATACTAAAACTAAGTAAGCAGATTAAAAATCTACCAAATGAGGTCAGAAAAATAAACTTGTTTCCCTTTGAATTAAGTTTATTTGACTATTTTTTTTCTTGTTTTAAGCTTAAACTTCCTTTTTATTTTCATTTCATTTTTCATTTCATACTCTCCAGTTATTGTATCTTGATTTAACCCTCTGGTGATGTTCGGTGTTTTTGACCAAAAATGTTATTTTATTTTTTAGAATTTTGTACTTCATCGGAATGGTACGAAACTTGGTAAAGGTTTTGGCACTTGCTATGTGAACACAAAAAAGAAAATAAAAAAATACATGGACATGATTGGAACAGGTTAAATGGTCCTGAAAAAAATAGTCACACTTGTGCTCCTCGCGGTCAAAAATTAATAAGAGACTAATTTCATCTGGTGAAAACTTTCGGTACTGCCGCCAAACAACATCTCACTGAAAGATATATAATTTGAGATATCAAGCTCAAATTTGGAACAACTTGTTTAGATTTATGGCTTTGATTTTCCTGCTGTTTTAGAGTGAAACGTGTTTTTGAAAATATATATTTCATATAAAAATTTAGATATATTAAATAAAAAAATTTAGCAATAATCTGCCGAGTGTCGTCTTTAAAAAAAAGATCAAACTTCAGTCTGTGCTTTAAAGCATTCAAGATTCTCCACAGTTTAAGTTGGAAACGTAATTTCCAGGTCTATGCTCAAAAAGTGAATAAATAGATTATAAATACAGCGTAAATATGGTACATTAATTTCATTTAAAAAAAAAGTTCCTGACTGACATGCGAAGAGCACCAGAGGGTTAAGAACGCTTAGATAAGTTGTGCTGGAAAATAAGACAGAATTCTCTTTAAATGAATATGCCCCAAGATTCTTAAGTTGTTTTCTAATAATAATAATAATAATTTTATGAAGAAAACAAGTTCTCTGAGTTCATGCTTAAAACAAGTACAAATATCTGCCAATGCCAATAGGGTCAAAAAGAGAAACTTAATTCAAAGTGAAAACTAGTTTGTCCTCATTTATCTACTTAATTTATGACCTTTCTCAAAGACTTCAGTGTCATTGTGCATTTCCAGTAAATGCATCTTGATTTAAGAATGTTTAGACATTTGCATTCGTCATTTGTAAGAAGCGTCTGCTAAATGAACCAATGTAATCATCAGAAGATTTATGAAATATGAAAACAAGCCTCAATAATAGTATTTGTTCTGAGTTGAGGTGTCTCGTTTGAAGCATGTTTAGATATCTTTCCTAAAACACCCTGTGACCTGCTGATAAAGCTTCAGAAAAGCTTCTTACCTGTTGTGTTGAACTGAGAGAGATCTGTTAAAGCGCTCCTGTTTTAATCCTTTTTTAATGACAGACTGATTTTCATCAATTTGCTTGAAATATGAAGCCTTTTATTCAAAACACATTAAACGAGGCACGCAATGGAAAATCGTGACATCAGGCAGCATAAAGACGGGGTGGTACTTCAATAAAGTGACTTAAATCAAGAAACATTTACTGAAGAAGCAAAATTACTTCTTGTTTTCTAAAAGAAATATCAAAATGAAGTGAGTTTGTGCTTAAAACGAGAACAAATATCTGCCAAATGAATACAAACAAGGTTATTTTTCTGACTCCATTAGCAGATATTTGTTCTTGTTTTAAGCACAAACTTCATTTTGATACAGTTTGTCATTAAACAAGACTTAATATTTTAAGTCCTTTCGCTTCTCCAGTAAATGTGTCTCGATTTAAGAATATTTGTGCAGGAAAACAGACAGAATCTCATTTCTTTGCAGTGTATCGAGCTAACGTTAATGTGATAGCAGCCTGATCTGGGAACAGTTTAATGAGAAAAGTTCTTAAGCAAAGAAACTTGTCTTCATATGCTCTCTGTTTAGAAACACCTGAGATATTAAAGAAATGTCCAATCTAAAGTCGCAGAGAAACATTGAATTCTTCACCGTCCCTCGACTCGAAGCTTTGTTTCTGGTTGGATGAGGACATTTTCATGATATTTGACTAAAGATGATGAACACGACTGGATCATCCTTCCTTTAAAAGCCAAATGATCTGAGAGAGAGAGAGAGAGAGAGAGAGAGAGAGAGAGAGAGAGAGAGAGAGAGAGAGAGAGAGAGAGAGATTGATGCTAGCTAGATCATTCCTTAATCACTTCTGCTTGCATTATTCTTAATGTATTCTTGTTGTTGGTATTCTAAGTATTTAAATGTCAAATGAAATACTCCAGCCACTTTATTTTAGTGCACTGTTCAGCTCACACTCATTCGACATATTTCAGCATCTTTATTAACATTGCTATTGACGTTAAGTCAACTTGAAATGTGAAGTTGTATTAAGTGACAACTTGGATATTTGAGTTCTCAAAACGGTAATTCTGGCAAAGTTATTTTAATGCACAATTTTAAGCTGTGATTGCTAGGTGCAAAAATAAATGTAATAAGTCAAATAATAACATAAAGTCGAAAATATCTTTGAGGCTGCGAATGCAAATGTCACATGGGTTAACATTACATTAAACTGTCGTGTGGTTGGTTTTGACATTGGCTGTCATGAGGCATTATAACTGTGTCATGAATATGTTTCTTAACCTCAACTACAGTGGTACACATTGAATTTGTCATTAAAATGTTATAATGACCTCATGACAGCCAATGTCAAAACCAACCACCTGACAGTTTAATGTAATACTAACTCATAAAGATAAGTGTTTTCTTGATAATGAATCTGCTATGTCATGTTTATGACATATTTATGACAGGTTGTGTTGACTTGGTAATATCAAGTTATCATGACAAAGACACTGAGAGGTTATGATGTATTGGTTTATGTCAAAGTGTCATAACAAAAACATCTCAAACAATGTCATATTTGCTTTAAAATGTCATAATTGAGCGAATGACACTTAATGACAGTTGTCATAAACATGCATAAAACCTCCTTCATGTTCATTACATGTGTCCTGTCACGATTAAGAAGGTTTCATGTCAGTCTTATGCACACCCCTTCAAGTAAAGTGTTACCATTTTTTCTTAGTGTGAAGAACATTTTAATGATCTTAAGTACCTTTAGTAATTCCATGGATGTTAAACGTTCCTCATAGAACCATTGATGCCAATAAAGAACCTTCATTTTTACGAGTGCACTGTAAATTTAATATAAGTAGATTTCGGAAAAATTATCACAACATGATGATTTCATAAAACATGTATTTAATTATTTTTACGTTAGCCGACTACATTAATGAACTAACTATTCTTAATTATAAACACACTACACACTAGAAGTACTCTATTCAAGTTTGTTAATGGTAATATTTAATAGTCAAGTCAAGTCACCTTAATTTATTCAGCGCTTTAAACAATATAGATTGTTTCATAGCAGCTTTACAGTGATAATAGGAAATTAAAGTAGCAGATTGTTTTGTTTTTACAGCAAAGTTCTAATAATAAATAAAGTTATAATAATCTTTTGCCCTTAAAGTTCTCCGTTCATGCCTGTTGATCCGTTCTTCATTTTTTGGAAAATCATTCCACCGGGATGCTCCCGCCAGGTTAGCTTCACATCGGCCGCTATTCCCTGCGCTCGCAGAGTCTGCTGGACCTGAGGAGAGGAGTTTATCAACCTAACAGTTATTTATGATGCATGGAAGACCATTTCTGCCTCATAAGAAAAAAAAAGAATCATAATGACATAAAAACTCAAAATTAAGTTTTAAAAAATAAAATAGAAGTCAAATAATTATTATTGTAATTATGACATTAAAGTTTAAATTATGACAAAAAGTAAACATTATGACATACTAATTTAAAATTAAGACAAACTAATTTGAAATTGACATCAATTATGCCAAAAAATCAATTACGACAGTCATAATTTCTACTTTTAATCTCATAATTATGAATTTCATAATTATGATTATTTAATTAATTTGAATTTTCATATCATATAAAGTCAAAATTTTTAAACATTTTGATATACTAAGTTGAAATTATGACATAAGTCATAAAGTCATGAAATTATTAAATTAATTAATCATAAAAATGTGAAAGTAAATTATGACAGTCATAAGTACAACTTCTCATCTCATAATTATGAATTAGTCATAATTAATATGTCATATTTTTTAATTTATATACCAGTTTAAACTTTTTCGTCATTTATTCACTTTTTCCTCATAATTGTGGATACTACATCTGAATTGAGCTGGACGATGACATCACTGTTTTCTCCAGAACTGCTATATATATATATATATATATATATATATATATATATATATATAAATTAACTAAATTCATAACTTTCTTACAACAAAAATGAACCATCACTGAACTTACTTAAGCTGGACTATGACGCTATTTATCTCTGTAAAGCTGCTTTGAAACAATCTGTATTGTAAAAAGCGCTGTATAAATAAAGGTGACTAGACTTGACTCACCTTATTTAACACATCAGCTGTAATCGCTTGATCATTGACATTATCTCCTGCTTTCACCTCCAGTCTTAATATCTGTTGCTTCACTCGTGCTATAGAAAGAAATGAAAGTGAAAAATACAAATACAAACGATTACAATCACTTTGAATACAAGATGAGAAAAGGTTTGGTTGCACAGTGAGTGTTTTGCCATATGAACAGGACCATATGAATATGCCGAATATTTACAATATGTGTTGTGAAAAACATGAACATTGTGAATATTGCATTGATTCATTACACTAGTTTAGGGTTTAAGAAATGATGAGAATTAAGTCAGATGTTTTAATAGCATTTTCAATTTAAACCTGAGTAGTAAAACGTGTGAAATTTTATATTATTAATATTTCCGTGCATAAGTTCAATTTGTCCATTTAAATGAACTGATTTGCACCATCATTCCAAAACATTTGTATGTCTCTGCATGGATTTTTTTTTCCAAATTTTTTTTTCCACTTTAATGTATGTTGATAAATATCACATATATTATTATTCCTTGTGTTCATTTAGTAAAAAAATCGTAATCATTTTCAACTTGCTTGAAAAAACAACACTTTTAATTAATTTCAGAGCTAATATTTAAATACTGAGATATATTGAATACATCATATCTAAAGTAGTATCTTCTTTTATTTTAGATTAAGATTTTTTTGGCTTGAAAATGTATAAAGCTAGACAATGTAACAACAACAAAAATATCATGGTTTAAATAACACTGTACTTGTCTGGCATAAGAAGAAATTCAATCTTGAGCAGGTCTCATCATCAATGTGACCGTAATCATCTAAAGCGCCACACATGTCTATGCCCAATGAGTTATCTGGTTGTCCTACAGCCCATGGCAGAGGGGAATAAAGGCTTGTGCGAGTCTGATTCAACCACTTCCACGAGTCCCTGAACAGACCGATCCAGGCACAAGTGTGTTGCTGGATCATGTCGGTTAGCTGTAGATTCACATCCCTGTTCTTCACGGTGAACAAGTCTGAGTAGTTTTTTCTGCAGTAACTCTGAGCTTCGTTCCAGGACATCAGTGGATCAGTAACTAGTACCGGCTGTCCTTCTGTAAAACATCAGAATAACTACGATTAACTCAACAGGCCAATCTAATTGATCGAGCTATTACATAAAACCTTTTTTTTTTTCATGCACTGGTTAATTTTGAGATTTTGCCTCCATAATATCTCTTCTTCTGACTAGTGAAAAGAAAACATCTAAAGTACAGAGTTTATTTTGTACACTTTATCTTTTTGCATCTGGAGATATCAATTACAATATGTATCTCTTAAAGGCCGATTTCTCAAAATGAGTTTTTATCTCAACTTGTGTAACACTTACATACACCAAAACTTACAGTTTTATTCCTATCTACATTCTGAAGGTTTTTACAGAAGGGTTTGTTTATATATCATTCAACCTGATTTATATAACATTTAATTCCTAAAACATGCTGATTTTTTTTTTTCTGTCTGCCGACAGTATTTTCTGGTTTATGCAGTGATATAAAGAGAAATCCAAAATCCCTTCTGTAAAAAACTTTAACTCTAACTTGTCAACAAAATTAAACACGAATTTTGAACCTGGCTTAATCCAATATTAAATTTTTTGTTCTGGAACTGTATGCAATTTTGAGCATATTGAATATAATAATGCATAATTTGGACATTTACATATAAGATGTCAGAAAACTTGCAATACTCAATATTTAAAGTCATATACAGTGGCATTCAGTGAAATCTGTGAGCTCTTTGATACTAATGGCTGAACTGATATTGACTGAATTGATACTGAAAATATCTTGTCTTTATTCTTACCACCATTTTGGCAAAAAAAGGGTATTGTCCAATTACAGGCTTCATCCCACCAGTATCCAGTTGACCGTAGATTTACACAATATTGTTTTCCACCCAAATTGTTTGGCTGATCAAAATCCCAGTTTAAGAAAGTCACATTTGTATCTGGAAGAGACCAACGCCAGCTGTTCGCATCATCATACAGTCCGATCCAAATATAAAAGTGTAGTTCAGCTCTTAACTCGTTTAATTCGCTCCACTCTTCATCAGTCTGTACAGTGGCCAAGTCAATGTAGTTCTGTCGACAGTAATCTTGAGCCTCGTCCCACGTTTTATCCTCTCGGATCAGAATATATTCACGCGTGCCGCACAGAATCAGTGAGAGAAACCCTGAGTGCCGTTAATACAAAGTTAGTAAAAAAATCCAGTTTTGCAGTGTTCAGATGGTCAATAAAATGGTCAACAAAACACACTCACCTGAGAGCAAAAAGAGATGGATGAATCTTTGCTTCATCGCTGCTGAGATTAGATTAGTGAGGTCTTCTCCATAGACTAGCTAAAAATCAATGCACCCTGTATTAAAATATTGTTCTGTCCAGGGGTAAATACACACACCCATATTCATTTGTGTATTGAACTCTGTTTTGTCTTTATTCTTTGACAACAGCAGCATTAGGGGTTCATGGTGTCAAAATTTGCTCAGCTAATGATGCACATCAGATGTGTTTACACAAATATCAATGCAGATTTGTTTGCATAGGAAATCATGTTATTGGCTTTTGTTCATGAAAAGCTTTTGTGTTCCTGACATCTGTATGAATCGGTTAAAGATGAAATACACAATTTAATATCTTGTAGAATAAGGATGCCACTTAATCAATTTGATTAAGATTGCGTTTTAACAAAAAAAAAAAATGCATGTGTAATATTTTTTAACATAGTAACTGTTTCACAAAAGCAATAAGGCCTTTTACCCATGACTATTTTCACAATGTAGTCATACTTTCCTTCTGAACTATCTTAACTCCTGAATTACTATTTGAAAACGCCATTTTAGAACAATTAACAAGTTTTATTAACTAGGGCTTATGCAGTTTCTGTGCTGTTTCGACGTAACAAGGTTGTTGAAGCATGTGTGACGGAAAGAGTGTGTGTGTTTACCAGCATCTGATGGGGAAAAAATGGTGAAGCCTCAGTACACTAAATAAACTGCGTTGTGTGAAGGTAGGGTTCATTTTACAGTAGCACCCATTCATTTCCAAAATATCCACAAACGATTAGTCGTGACAGTCGTAAAACGCTTCAAGTGATTCAATGACATCAGGGCCATTACCTCACAGCTTCTCCAATGACACTCCTCCTAAACGAATATCGCAAAGCCATTCGTTTTACTACTTCAAAACTAACAATGTAATGTATAGTTTTAGTAGCATGCAAAACTATTGTTTTAAGTAGTATACTTTTACAGAACACTTTTTTTAATATTTTTTTAATACATTCACCATTCTCAGCTCCATCACTGTCCAGATGTCAAAAATGCAAGTTGTAGTAGATAGCAGGTGTAAACATACACATAGCCATTATTTTAATTTTGAATTGTTTTGCATTTTGAGTGTAAAAGCAGCAGCGTCATTAGGCGTTCGCGGTGTAGTCATCGTTTGCTCAACTAATGACGCTCAGCAAATGCATTTGCAGAAGTACAGAATAATCACTGCAGAGGTGAAGGGAATTGTTTGCATGGAAAGTCATGTTGTTAAATGCATTTGTTCAGGGAACACTTTTGAGTGTACGGCCTCTGTATTGATCTAGCCGGTGGACTAACCATTCTGTTCAGAACTTACCTGGTAAAGTTGGTGAAAGAGTGAAGTGTGGCCAGTGAACAATTCATGAAATACCAATTTCTATGACAATTATACAAAAAAACATGTGTTGGTGACCAGCTAGTTGGTCTTGTCAGCAATGCATTTTAAAAAGCTCTCTTTATAGCTTTCAGACACTGATTTTTACCTACGTACACTTCTCTGGATGATTTCACTCAAAGCACTTGACAGATAGTACGACCACCAGTGTGCAAAATCCATCTGAGAGATGTGATGTTTGTCCTTTTTTTATTGAAATATTTACTCATGACTGGACTCAAAAGAAAGTGTTTAAAAACAGAAATATCTTTATCACAAAATAATCATAAATTTTTGAAGCAATGTCAGAGAGTGTCATTTTATTCTCCACATTATTCATGAGGTAATCCAATCACTGAGATCACAAAACAGAAGAAAATCTGTGTGATGCACACAAGAGTACACTACAGTAACTCATCACTCGTATTTATATTTGAATATTCATGACTGTTAAAGATGTTTATAAGATTTTGAACATGAACTGAAAATATCACCAGTGCAGTGTGAGTGTCTAATGAGGTTTTGTTTACCGGTTTTGGCAGTTTACATAAAACAGATCAAAACAGTTTACATGGCAGATCATTAAAACACATTTTGGATGCATAATCATTTTCTATTGTTCATCAACACAAATCGTATTCTTCGCTGTCCTGTTAGTTTTCTTGTGAACAGTAAAATTACACATCATATCAAATGCCACACATGATTCTGCACAAATTCAATGAATAAATTGACAGCGTAAAGCAGTGGTCTCAAAGTCGCGGTGATATTTTGTGGCCCCCTACTTGACATTAAAGTTTAATGTTAGTGCGGCCCGTCGTTGCGTGTGCCGCGTTTAAAAAACAACAACATTTTTTATCCCTTTTGGGCTACCATAGATAGTCTCGTGACAGCTTACGGTGGGTTTGTTGTCAATAGTTGTCATAGACAACCGCGAAGTATAAACATACTGCGCCTGGAAAAAATGAGCGCGTCGCTTCAATTATGAGCTCGCTTGCCGCGCGCCTACATTTGAAATAACGAACTTAAGCGCGCAAAATATGTGAGCGCGATGTGTGAACGGCCCCTTGGCGAGCTACCACCAATCAGACCACGAGCTACTGGCAGCTCGCGAGCGACGTGTTGGAGACCCCTGCTCTAAAACAATGTGAGAATAATCATTTTGAGCTTGTAATATGTGTCCAACAGGTTCATAAGAAGGTTTGCTTTGATTTGTGCAGTCAGTAATTTGAGACACTATACATGTGTAAAAAGAATTCAATAAGACGGGCGGACATGACTGCAAATATTTGTATTTCAAAAGCAATAATTTTTTTTCTAAGTATAATAAAAGGAAATGTGCCTTCCAAAAAAAAACATTCAATATCATTAATGTGTTGTATAAAGAAAATAAAAAGGACATAAGCAAATATAAATATCACAAATATGTGTTATATACAAAGAAAGTTTGTAAAATGAACTTTAACTGTCAGAAGGACAGCTCATAAAGAACCAATCATGTACCAACATGACATCATGACTTTGCGTAAACATACACGGCACTTTCAAGTCAAGTGGCGTGTTATCTATACGCATATTGAGCTATCCGCGTGTATGTCCACGCCGAAATCTTTTGCGTGTATGTCTACGCCATTAAATGTTCGAGTGAGTCCGCGTGTATGTGTACGCCGTTAAATGTCCGAGCGAAACGAAGCAAAATCTATATCTACATCTGTGGAGCGATATTTCTTTTCCTAGGATGGTAGGAGAAGACTCATAAATGGTATTAACCCCAGTGACGGGTAGGTTTAGGGACGGGGTTGGGGTAGGTCATATATTTTTATATACATAATACAGTAATATAACGTTAAGTCAAAGGCGTTGATAAACACGCTGAAAAGCGATTATGCGTGTTGATAGCACGCCAAAAATGGAAATACGAATTGGCGTGTCATACATACGCCATTTCATGAGATCAGTCTGCATGTACAGAAAGGAATGTTCAAATTCAGAGGAACAGTTCAGAAGAAACATTAATAATAAATATTGAGAAGATTGGATCAGTTGTACTCCTTTTATGGAATACTTGAATACTATTTTTTGTGGAATACTTGATGCGGCCCAGCCTGACCCCGACTCTACCTCCAGCGGCCCCCAGTTAAGCTTGTTTGAGACCCCTGGCGTAAAGCAAAAAGACCAAGGTCAGTATGACAGCTTCAGTCCACTTAACTGAAGCTTCTGCAATGAATGGTCAACTTGACACTTAAAGAGACAGTGTCAGCTTCAGTAGTTGTACAGTGAACGTGCTGAGCTCAGTGTAAAACCCAATTGAGAACAACAGTCTTTAATACAACTTTAGGTCAGTAACCAAATTACATTGTGTGCAGATTCAACTTCCTAGATAGTGTAGATTCAGTCAATAAGCCTTTTTCACGCGTAACCGGAAACTACGTCACGTCGGGTAAACTGATTTCCGCCACAGCTGAAACTACGGTGTTTGAACATGGAGCGTTATTTCACAACTTCTCTCTCGACACTTCCACGACTCCGATTTGAGGATGTTGACAGAATTGTTGGACGGCACTCAACAGTTAAAGAAACGAGGCTGAGCAAGGGCTATAAATTCTTCGTTGAGGAATTTATTCAAAATTATCAAGGTAAGTTGACAACTATCTGGCGCTAGCACTTGCAACATTATGAATGCCAATTGCTAACCATTTGTATGGTTAGGTGTTATTGGTCTAGGGGGGGAAAAATGAGGAGCCCCACACTCTTGAGGTTATATGCAACGTTAATATGCCGGTTGGCTTAACGTTATGATTTAGTCAGATCGTTCTGATATCAAGTTACTGCGGTTGCAGAATTTGTTTCCCTTTATTTTAGTTTCACCTGTCTTAAGTTTTTCTATGTTGGGTTTTAGTTATGTCTCTTTCATTGCTTCTGCGGTTGCAGACTACAGCTGTATTTCTTGCTTTTGCTGCTGTTTGCAGCTTTCAATTAACAGCACTTAAAGGGATAGTACACTTCAAAATGAAAATTCTGTCATCATATACTCACCCTCAAGTTGGTTTTAAGCCTGTATGAATTTCTTTCTTCTGCTGAACACAAATGAAGATATTTTGAAGAATGTCAGTAACCAAACAGTTTACTGGTTCCATTGACTTCCATAGTATATTTTTTTTCCTACAATGGAAGTCAATGGGATTTAAGGCATGATTAAAAATGTCTTTCTCAGGGTAAATGATATCAAGACAGAAGCCTTAGTGGGTATTGACAAATATGGCAACAAATACTATGAGAACAACTGAAACTTTTTCGGTATTAATTTACTTTTTAAGTGAACTATCCCTTTAAAGTAGCTCACAGCATAAAATTACAATTCATTAGCTTAACTATTGTCTTCTCAAACAGGTATCACTGGAGACAGAAGAGGTTGTTTGTATTTCTGCCTACATGTGCAGCTGGTAAAGGGTTGTGCAACCATCTGACAGCACTTCTGTATCAGACGGCCCACTATGTGCAGCTGAATTTACAGTCTGTCCCACCACCACTGGCCTGCACGAGTGAGCCACAGAGATGGCATCGTCCAAGAACACAGGCATGTATTTTTTCTTTTCTGCAATTGGTAAGAACACTACAGGTTATGATGTTATGGTTTATGTC